AGTCAGGTCAAACTATACCAAAAAATAAGAGTAAAGCTACCTAAATTCCCAGCAAGCTGAAAATCAGTGAGATTGTTTTAAATATAATTGAAAATGAAATTTGAAAGTTCTCCAGCTTTCCCCTGTATGGAAATTTTTTCATTCAAGGTCAAAGGTCAAAAAAATGAGATAAAAATTGTAGATCATAAAATCATCTACAAAATATGTATTGGTACTTTTTTTTCCTACGAGCCACCGTTTTTGAGATATAACGATTCAAAAAGTTGTAAAAGTTGTAATAGTCATAATATACACACGCCACCTATGAGATAGTGTACTTAGCGCGTTTTTTTAACGTGGTTTCCCCAGTAGACCTATTCCATGGGTCAGTTGTGATCCTGTTTAATTTGAAACTATTTCAAAATAATGGATATTAGCAGAGATTAAAAAGATGAAAGCAATTTGAGTTAAAAAAAGTAGTAAAATCCAATCGTCCGAGACATAACTTTCGAATTCTTCTTCTTGTTCTTCTTCTTGATCTTCTTATTCTTGTTCGTCTTGTTCGTCTTGTTCTTTTTCTTGTTCTTCTTCATCTTCATCCTGAGTACATGTAAACTGCGTTAATAGCGATGTATCGCATGTCGCCTCGTTGGAAACAAACGAATCCTCCACTGTTGGTGATTCAAAAAGTTGTAAAAGTATTAATCGTCGTAATATGCATGAGTACGCCACATATATACATCTTTGTAGTTGTAATATATGTCAAAATATTTTTCTATGGGTCATTGTAACTTACACTTATATAAAATGAAATATACATAAGTTATAACTATAAGAATATCAGGTAAAATGAAACCCAGTCCGTTAATTTATACGCCATTGTAACCTTGAAACAACACATGTCCCCTGTTCAATTGTGTGCGTGGCTGACCATCAACATCTTTTTCGGGTATGCAAGTTTAAGTGTGGCTTGGTTATCAGCTAGACCCTTCAGACTGGGGTTGGAAGTTGGTCAAAAATTCATTAGAAACAGTCCAAACTTTACTTCCACCTGCGCCGGAAAAACTGCTGAACACAATTTTTGCAACTGCAAAAAGGGGTGCAGTGCTGAATGTGGTTGCAAAAAAGACGGACTGTTGTCAAGGCCGGTCGTGGTCTAATATTGAATCACCAACAGTGGAGGATCCGTTTGATTCCAACGAGGCGACATGCGATACATCGCTATTAACGCAGTTTACATGTACTCAGGATGAAGATGAAGAAGAACAAGAACAAGAAGAAGAACAAGATGAACAAGAACAAGCAGATCAAGAAGAAGAACAAGAAGAAGAATTCGAAAGTTACGTCTCGGACGATTGAATTTCACTATTTTTTTTTTACTTAAACTGCTTTCATCTTTTTAATCTCTGCTAATATCCACTATTTTGAAATAGTTTCAAATTAAACAGGATCACAACTGACCCGTGGAATAGGCCTACTGGGGAAACCACGTTGAAAAAACGCGCCAAGTACACTACCTCATAGGTGGCATGTGTATATTATGACTATTACAACTTTTACAATTTTTTGAATCGTTATATCTCAAAAACGGTGGCTCGTAGAAAAAAAGTATTGATACATTTTTTGCAGATAATTTTATGACCTACAATTTTTGTCTGAAGTATTTTTATGATAAAACTTACCGTTTTGCTGAAAATCGCGAAAAACTAATTTTTTGACCTTTGACCTTGAATAATTTTTTTTCCATAGAGGGGAAAGATGGGGAACCTACAAATTTTATTTTCAATAATATTTTGAACAATCTTACTGATTTTCAGCTTGGTGGGAATTTAGGTAGCTTCGAATGTCTTAATTGGCCGGACTATTGGCCGAACAGTGCGTTCATTAACAACATCATTGCCAAATGCCTGGTTAATTTTTTTACCTGTTTCGGCGGCACTTTAGTACCATTTGAATTCATAGATAAAAATAGGCCGAAAATCACTTAACGACATTATATAGTAATAAGCTGTTATGGAGATATGGAGCTACAAAAACAAATGACATTAAAACGAACAAAACTTTAAGAAGAAGCTATTTTATAGTAAAACATGTCGTTCAATTTCACCACATACGAGTGTTTTGAAATGTTTTTGAAACATGATTTCTTTGAAGTGAACAGGGTTTTCGAGATTCTAAGGAAAGTTCAATATTTTTTGTAGTCGAATAATCTGTGTGTGACTACATATCCAGATCGATATCCAAATATTTATCCCCAACTTTCAATCTTCCGCAACATAAAACCCAAAACAAATAACAATCCCCATTGAATCTAACAGGGTTTTACAATGGCAACACGGGCCTTATACAAATAGATCGGGGATCATCATTTGTTTGGGAAAAAGCCGTGAAATAATTGCCATCCGTCGTCGTTATTGCTCCAATAAATTACCCACTTACCTCTTCGTGCTCCTTCGTGAATTTTTCCCGTTTTCTCAACGCTTCTTGCAGTTTCAACTGGAAAAAGGAACAAAAAAGTTAGGCGACTTTGTCAGAAAGGCATTCGGCGGAAACTTTTTATTGTCGTTGCTCGGGAACTGCAACTGGACTAAGTGAGAAACGGTCTAATTGTGAATTGGGATAAATCAATTTGGCAAGGTGGATTTTTTCATTTCATTTTCTTTCGGATGCAAAACCGCAGCTTCTGCGATAATGGAAAAGGAACTAGGTTAATAGGAGAAATCGTGGAAAATCCATACCGAATATTACTCCGGGCTGAATGGGAAATTACGTGACGCTTGGGGGGCTATGAAAGTTTGATACAGTTATTTTTGTAATCGTGTATTACGTATTCAAGTAACACTTCATTATGAGATTTTCACTGAACAGTTTACGAAACCGAAACACGTGATTCACTATACAATATCTTTCTTAGGCGTGTTCATAATGACTAAATTCTACCTAATTAGTTTCTTATTTTACCGGAGTTTAGGTATAAACTGATTGGAATTTTAAACATTATGAAAGAAATTTCACAAACTCATTAAATGGGAGTTTCCCAAGGATCTAATTTAGGGCCGCTGTTATTCTTACTTTTTTTAGCTGACATATGCGCTTCGATACAATCAACAAAGCTGATTTTTGGTGATGATTTGAAGCTTTTCAGAGAAATACGTGATTTCTCTGATTGTATGTTGCTCCAGAGGGATTTGAACTCACTCCAAAAGTGGTTTGATGAAAACAAACTCTTTGTCAATGTTGGAAAGTGTAAAATTATGACTTATGCTCGAATATTAAATCCGTATCATGTCAATTATACAATTGATAATATCGAGTTAACTTAGAGTTAACTTAGGACTTAGGAATTTCAGTACAGCTTGTCAAATCTAGGAAGAGACTTGGGAATTATCTCTCTCTTTCTCGCCCTCATAGTCTTCTAACGAACGCACATCAAGGTACCGGGACCATAACGGAATTCAGAAAGCTCTTCCTACATTTGACAAGCTGTACAGTATGATATCACAAAAAATGTTATTTATGCAACAATTATTGTCGTTTGTATGTTTCATATTTTTACATGTATTCTATACACATATATCAAAAATAATAAGTAGTGTAACGAATCTGAAGCCGCCCCTGACCAGGGAATTGATACGCCAGCCGACTCATCGAACAAACACATGACCTCACCTCGAAAGAATGCAGTCTGGAACCGCCAGTAAAATTCTCGAAGGGACCTTTACCGATATAAGCCCGTCTTCCCGACCCAAGAGGGCAGTTTAGAAAGTGAATCGAGCGGCTAAACAAGAAATTCGAATAGTAGAAATAAATTAAGAGTTAGTTGCTGAGTGTTGTAATAAATAAATTAGTTTGTGATTATTGAAATATTGTTGCAAATAAATTTGTTTAAGACAGTTGAATTAATTTGCCATAGTAGGTTCGGTGAATCATTCTGTGTGATTTTCAATTGATGACTAGGCGTTCTGAATGATTCAGCGTGATTTTGTATGTAGGCGTGTCTAGACACGCCTGAAGGAGCTATTCTAAAGCGAAACACGTGTTGCGTTTATGTTAAACTGATATAAATAAATAGGGATTGTATTTAATTTCAAATGATTTGAGTTGAACCATATTTTAGCATCTGTTGTTGTCCTCTCGATGTCGGAGTTCACATATACCATTACTAATTAGAGCAGTGTCATCAGCAAACATAATAGTCTTTTGAGGAAGAAGATAATGAAACAGATCATTATCATAATAGTATATTATGCAACGATCATGTAATGATGGTTATTAAGACACGAGCATTAAGGCGAGTTTTGTATGGTATATGCGAGTGTATTAATAACCATTACATGAGAGTTGCATACGCTATTTTTTCTAAACCCGATAAATAATGAAAAACTATAAATATTATATTTGTGTTGAACACATTTACAGTAATTAACTCATATTTTTAAAAAAAAAACAAACTTAATGGTATTATCATAGATATATGAAAACTATAAAGATTCTAATTATATTTATATTGAATATAACAACTGTAATTAATCTGATCTTTTAAAAATATTGGAGTCGATGGTATTACCTTCTATATTGCTGTTTTCAGACATTTTGATAATATAGGTAGGTAATATGAAAACTGATTTTGACAAATAAAGCAATTAGTTACTTAGGTTAGAATCTAGGACAAACAAAGGAACAGGATTCTTGATTGAAAAATTATGGGTTTCTATTGGTTGATAATCTGTATCGTTATGAAAAATCTGTATCATAATGAATATCATTATGAAACGGATTATGGTCATATAAGTGTATCGTTAGAGTACGGGTGTAGAAAAATAATGAAAAGAAGTGGACCCAAGACTTTGCCTTATGAGGCTCCATGTCTTAGGGGTTTCGCAGTGGAAAATTCATCACAAACCGAAACAAATTGTCTCCTATTGTAGAGGGCTTATTCTGAAGTTACCATAATTAGTTCCATTTCGTTAACAATACAACTGAATAATAGTTAGACACATTAAAGCAAATTATAGGTTATTATACACACACACACATAAAAATTTAAATAAGAAATACCTATCATGAAATTAATTGTAAACTGACGAGTTATTAGAACTTTCAAAATGTTAATATTCTTCTGCAAGATATCCTTCGACAATTCGTTTAAATAATGAAATTGATGGTACCGTTTTTGTACTAAAAAATGAAAAATAAATATAGTTTAAAAAAACTAAAAAACACGATTTAAAAGTACATCGAACTAAAACGTTAAAAATCATTTTTTTAAATGAGCTTAAAACAATAACGAAACAATACGATTCATTCGTTTCTAAACGATGTTTGTTGCATCTTCCCATAAAACCACATTATGAAAAAGAACATAATTTAAAAGAGTAGTTATATTCTGAGAGGTCTTCTTCGCTCAGTTTTTTCATAAGTTGTATCAAGGCATAGAAACTGCTGTTGAATTTTTTACTTATGTAATCGACTTGAAATTGCAAATTCAATGTGTGGTCGATGATAACTCCTAAAAACTTCTAGGCTTTTGAAGGGTATATTTAAACCGTAACGTGAAGACGATTGAATGGGAAAGAAGGTAACAATCGTTGGAACAGTGTAGTGGTCGAAGAAAATTCATAGGGACTTTCGCCCTCTCGAGTTATACAGGAAAACTGACAATGCTGTTTTAATTTTTTTACGAATAGACTTATTTTTTCAGAAACTATAAAACAATTTGAAAAATATGTTTTATTGTACTATAACGAAATGTACTAAAATTATTTAATAATGAATCTTCGATCAAACGTTTCGTTTTCGTGTCAACACGGCCACCATCAACTTTTCTTTTTAAATACGGACCTGTCTTTTTTATTACAAATATGTATTGATAGAGCGATAAAACCACAATTCAGTGGTATGTCACTGTATTTAAAATAACAATGTTTAATTACGGTCCTGTCGTTAGTTATTTTGTAAATTGTTTTGATTTCTTCAAAAATTTCGGTACTCTTTGATTCAAGGATGATTTTTCCTGATTTACTTTTTATACGGAATATTTTTATAATTCTCAATCCAAATATTAGATTTTGGTCGAAATTCGATTGTAGGTAATTTGCTGCAATTAAATAACATCTCACTTCATTTACCATTTTTAAACGCGTAGGCTTTGCTTGGTTTCTATGATAGAAAAAATGAATGATTTGTTGATATCTGTTAAGTGAGTAAGTGAGTTACAAATGAACCTTTTGAAGTACGAAAAATCACTCACTAGCAGTGCTAGTAGTTCGGTAGGGACAAACACTGCCTTATCCTCATATAAACATATGGTAAATAAAGTACAATTAAAAAAGAATGTTTTTAACACAAGAAGATGTTCCTGAAATTTGCAAATGTCGTAACATTAAAACGTTGGCTTGCATGCCGTAATTTAAAAGTAACTGGAAAAAGTTAATTAATAGACAGGTTAGTAGTATACAGACTCTAGTAAAAGAGTAGCGGTAGATTCTGTAATACTGTAATAAAATAAATTTAAAATAATTATGATTTTCAGATTTATTTCCGAGTGAAATATGAATCAAATATAGATGGTAATGAAATAAATTTAATTAAATATAATAAATGAATATAATTTAATAAACGATTGAGGTTATATCTCATTCTAATCAATGGTAATTAACTATGAAAAATTTACTATTCATTTCATGTTTAGAGCATACATATGAATATTTATTTATTTTTTGCACTGTTAAATCCACTCTCCTCGAAGCATGTATCCATTTCTTACATCTAACCTCATTAATATGAGGTTTTATAAATGGTATAAAAAACACGTTTTCTTCCGGATATCGATTATCTGACGTACAATTCGCAAAACAGCAATGGTTTGTTGGCATTATACTAGCACAAAATAATGTTTTATATCAGATTTATATTTTTGAATAATAAATTAATATTACATAAATAACACTGTTTTACTTGTGAATAGTTTATGTTTGTCCCTACTAATAGTGCTGCCTCTCGTGACACGTTCGCTGTACTATTCTCAGGAAAAAGGCTCATCGAAGACAAAATGAATGAAATTCTCTTTTGGCAAAAAATATGTACAGTGACCTATACCCGAATCTTCGTATTCCGAACATTTAAATATTTAGACGTTTAGAAAGAAATTTGAACAACTGTGATGCATTTGACAGAAATAAAACCAGAAAATTTGTTGTGACTGGAAGTTTGAGGAACCAAACAAATGTTTTGGGTAAGCAAATTTTACCTGATAATGAACAACAAAGTGAAAAATTGTTTTTTTCAATTTGAAAAGCGTTTAAATTAAACGCGTGAGGAAGCTATTGTATAGGGGAATACGTGTTGCGGTTCCGTTAACTGTCCAGTATTAATAAAGTGTTATTTATTGAATACGTTATGGATTTTCAACAAGTTTCGGCCAACTCCACCACATACTCAATAAAAATCGCTAGGAGTGAACTCTTTCTCTAAAATGAAAGTATTGAGTAGAACCGGTTTCTATTATTAAAGTAATTACCGTTATCTAGATGAACTCCATGGTACTATAGAAGAAAATAGTTAGATTTCTTTTCGTGGGACGGTAGCCTGGTGAGTTGACGTGGGTGGTCAGCTCCACTAAGTTAATCCGACCGCTGTGCGAACCGGTGGTTCGAACCGCAAGCCCGGACGATCGATTTTCACTTCCTATCGTCCAACCCGTGTTAGGAATCACACGTTAAAAGGTAAGACCTCGTTAGTCTTCACCTTGCACAAGTTTCCACTTTTGAGAGTTGCCATTCGTAGGGGGGCGACAACTGGTTAATGGAAACACAGATTTGATCTTGTTTTGTCTTGGGGTTATTATTACATACAAACACGTTGATAGTCAATCTTTAAGGCTCGAAATATTCACTCCGTTTCACTTCAAATTCCTATTGATGTATGATCCCGTCTCAATAGTGATTGTAAACCACCGCGAACCCAAAGGTCAGCCAGTGAATGTAGAGTAACCATTATATCATGTTTAGATCCCACAGATTAAAAAAGAACTCTTGACATATTTGGAAAGGTCAATAAAATCAATTGTTATAGAATTTCGTATGCACTTTAAGATAAATATTATGTTGCGGAGTACTCAGAGTCCCACAAGATATCCTCGTGGATTACTATTCCAAGAGTAAACACGTTGTAATATCCTGATCCGGAACGGACTCCATAACAATAAATCATTGTAACGTATCGGCAGCGCCAAAACAATCCGGTCGTTTTCAGAATCACCTCATCAGCGTTGATCACTGGTCGACCATATTTAAGGTCCGGTCGTCTTTCAGATGGTCACTTAAAATTCCCCAGACGGCCGTATTCTATCACGGTCGGCTGTAAAGTTTATCAGGTCCGTGGTCTGGAAGCACGCGATGTTTGGTTATCCAGTTTGCTTTTTCCCAAGTGTAAACCTAGAAAGAACGGCCATGGCCCCTAAATCAAAATGTCACTGCGATTCGGGGTGGAAAACTATGGCCGCGGGAGAGGTGATGGGAATTTCGCGTTTTATTGCTTTCTTTACGACTTGGAAGGAACAACTTTGAGACTGGTCGGGTGTGAATCAGGCTTGCAGGATGAGGTGGTGAGAGGAGCTTCGAAAAATAGGAATGAACTGATGAGGGCAACCACGAACATTCTTGTTCTTTTGTTGATCACATGTGGATAAAATGAATTCATTCGGATTATGTGGCGAAGAGTTGTGATTTTTTTTTGTTTGGCTTGGACGTACAGCTAGTCGCTTAGCTGATACCAGTTAACATTAAAATGAAAATGTGACAGATTGAATTGGTATATAATTAGCATCAGAGTTGAACTTCTGAAGATGATGAAATAATTAATTTTGTCATACTAATCTGGGAGAGCGTATTAAAGATAGGCAGGGATACTTGCTTCTCGTACAAGGGCCCATCAGGATATCTGAAATATACACTGGAGGTAGGCCGCGGTAAATAATGATAACATTAACATGGGAGTAACAAAGGCATGAAACTGGGAGAGCGTAATTAGTATAGACAGGTATATTCTCGTGCAGGGGCCCATCAGAACATCCGAAATATACACTGTAGGTTGGTCGCGATAAAAAATTCAAAAGTTAAAACTATCGAGGAGAGAGACATATGTATAAAAAAATAAATTTTTCGAAATGAATTTCCAAACAATAATCTTTCCCGACTACCAACACAGTAGGTTCTGGTAAACGTCTGTCGGAAAACCACTATTTCCCCGGCTAATACCACGCTGAATATTGAATTATATCCCTCAGACATTTATGTAAGATACCTCACAGAGGCTAGTCTCGCAGATGTTTTCCGGTCATCCAGCAGCAGGACCATGCTGAAATTATTCAAGTAGATCACCTGCAGACAGCGGTTTCGAGGTATTACTTCTCGTCAGTACAGAAACGATTCTACACGGCAGTTCTGGTAGGATTTGTGAAAAAGAATTCTTTTCAGGAGTATTCCCAATTTTCACGCTCCTGTGCTTCAAGCATAACAGAAAAATCTTCTAGACATATTTCCATACTAATGCTATTACGTGCAAGGTGGTCTACATATTCATTATGTTTGAGTCTTGCATGAGCCTTTATCCACAAGAACTAAATTTGCGTGTTACCGGCACTCAGTTCGTTGTGAAATTGTTGTAGTTTGGAAAACGAGATTGTTTTATAGGGCTTTCAACACAGAGAGACGGTCAGAAACGATGGCGGCTTAATTATACTTGGCATTGGCAAACGAATTGCTTCTTATATGAATTCTAATATACCTAAGTTTGTGAAATACTTCTATATTGGGGAATGGGATGTAGAAAGCGAGTCCGGTTCCAGCTGTTGTTTCAGAAGCATCTATCTGTATAGACAATTCTTGCATCGGTCCACTCTGGTGAAATCTTTTAATGGAGGTTTGAGACTGGCGATGCTAGTGCGGTAATGTGACAAGTACTGCAGCCTAGTCACAGCTGATTTCTTATGTGTTTGAACGGAAATGGTTTTGTGAATGTTATAGCTGTTGCCATTTTCAAAATCTTTGAGAACTAAAAATGAAGAATGTGTGGATGAGAGGTTGGAAATATTAAAAATACTAGGACCTAAATATTAAAAATATGTGAACAATAATAATAATAATAGAGAAACAACGAAAGTCATTTTTTTTGTGAAGGAAAATCAATTTTTTATCCACCTTTTTTTTGGGTATTTGTTACCTCCCACAATCTGAAAAATATAAAAATTATAATGGAGAACTTTATACTGCGTATAAATGAAAGTATTTTTCACAAAGAAAAATCTTCTATTTATCAGTAACTTGTCGTATTTAACAATAACAAGAAATAATACGATACTTATCTCAACGTTTCGGAGGCCAAAATCTACCTCCGTCTTCTGAAATGGACAAAAAAATAAATAATCAAAAAGGAAAAACTACCAACATATTAGAATTTTTTGTCCATTTCTGAAGACAGACGCAGATTTTGGCCTCCGAAACGTTAAGATAAGTATCGTATTATTTTTTAACAATTTTTTTGATAGGCACTTTCCCTCAATAGTGAGGTCATTCCATTTGGAACGGAGGTGAAATATCTTGGCATTGTCCTTGATAAAAGACTCACCTGGAAGGCTCACTTGGAAAAAGTTTCACACAAAGCCAGACTGTCTCTATGAACATGTCGAAGGATTTGTGGTAAAACTTGGGGTTTAGGTCCCGAACAAATTCATTGGATTTCTGTGATGATTGTTAGACCAATGATCACTTATGGTGCAATTGCTTGGTGGCCGAAGGCTTTACAAAAAAAGGCCCAAGCGAATCTCTCTGGCATACAAAGGCAGGCTTGTTTGGCTATCAGTGGTACCATCAGTACCCCACCGTCAGCGGCAGATCTACCTTCTCTCCACATTCTTCTGGAGAGAGAGGCTAGACAGACTGCATACAGAATTGTGCATATTGCCAATTGCACAAATCAATTTAATGCAGAGTGTAATAGACTGTTGGTTGACACTGGAAGTTACAACATTCTGGAAATGACCTCTGACTTCATGCCTCCAACTGTCAACTACGAACTGCCTTATAAAGTACTATTCCCGAGTAGAGAGGAGTGGATCCTCCGGGGTAAGGAAATATTAAGAGTAGATAGTTGTTGGTTCACAGATAGATCAAAAACACCTTCCGGTTCTGGTGCAGTTGTTTTCAGTCGCAGACCCAGGATAGAGATATTTACCAACCTACGAACTTATGCGACTGTATTTCAAGCGGAAATTTACGCTATTGAATTGTGTGTGGAGAGATTGGATGAATCCAACCTCATACACAAGTCAATAAAAATATTCGCGGACAATCAAGCGGCATTGGAAGCTCTTGGCTCCTACCGAATAATGTCTAAATTGGTAGCAAATTGCCAAATACGACTCTCCTCGATAGGAAGACTCAACAGATTGTCTCTGATCTGGATTGCTGACCATACTAGCCTGGAAGGCAATGAAGCTGTTGACTTTGCAAAGGAGGGTGATGCAAGCAGCTTCATCGGACTAGAACCTGTCATTGGCATCGCTTTAGGCTTTGCCAAACAAACATTGAACACCTGGTTGGCAAGAAGATTTATGGACTTTTGGCAGAATCTTTCAGGATTGGCGTTTATTCACCCTTCGAAGCGTGATACCAAACAGTTGTTGGACTACACTAAGAATGAACTATGATGTCTAATAGGCCTTCTTATAGGTTACTGTCATTTGAATATGCAGAGACTCGGACTGTCGGAAGACATGTGTGTCGCCTCTGTTTGGAAAATGATGAAACAGCAGAGCATATACTTTGTGCTTGCCCCGCTGGGGACCGAATTAGGTTTTTAGAGTTTGGCAGGGCCGTACTCTTACCATCTGATCTGAAAGACCATTCACCATACAAACTAATCAGCTTTGTTAAGAAGCTGGGTTTATTTGGTCGAGTGTGAGCCACAATAAGTTCTTGCGGGTTGCGGTGTAGTTTAGACCTAACCTAACCTAACCTAACCCGGGTGTAGAAAAACAGAGGTACCTTTTAAAAATCAACCTTTCAAATATTCCGCATTCAAACCCGTCACCTGCCGAGTGTCGGTACCACCACAACCAAATCATAGGTTGTTATTTCGACATTTGCTTCACCAGTTTTTAGGAAACCGCATTCCATATAAAACCTATTTCTCAGAAAAACCACAATAGTGGCGATTTTAGAAATACCAAATCATATTTCTGGTTAATTTTGAAACATATCTAGAATACTTAAGGTACCAAAAGCAACTGTTGTGTACTCGTCTCTACCTTGAATGAAAAAAAATCTTGAATAGACTAACAGTCTGCTTCAACTGATGTTTCAATGGACAGCTGAAGTTCCTATATGTATAATGTAGATCAATGTGGTAGGTTCAATATCAAACACGTTTTTTTATCTGAGTACTATACTTGTGAATACTACTTCAGGTATTTGGTGTGATGAAATCACAAAATTTAGAATTTTTTATTTTGATCACCACATGTGGAATTGATAATATCCTCATTTCTAAAGACTGATTTATTGAAATTTATTTTTGCAATAATACGATATAATCGTCCAGGGGGCCATTTTTGCATTAATAATTAAGTAATTTAGTGAGGGTTATTATAACTCCATAGATTGACATATTTTGTAGTTTAGTATTACTCAAGTCTGAATAGATTTGGAACCGTTTAAATCGATATTTTGATATGTTTATCATGGATTTTCATCAAGTACCTATGGCCAAATATATCGAAAACAAAAAAATACTTGAAGTTGAAACGTTAACATTTTAAGCAGAAATTAGTTTCTGGGAAAAAGTTTTCTGGCTTTTTAATAGCTTCCCCATCAAAAAAAAAAATAGGAAACTCCCAGAAAAAAATAATTAATTTCAAGTTCTTCGATATTTTTTGATCGAGATGGAGAAATAGAAGGCAAAAAAAATTGGAGTGTCATGTAAGTACCTGAAAAATATTGACTGAAGCAATAATCACCAATTACTGGAAAATGAAAATCCTGATTAGAATATCTGCATAATATAATATTTACACTAAGAAGTAATGATGTTTCCTCAATTGAAATTTTGTCGAGTCAAATAAACCGACGTTCATTTAACGACGTAATTTATAGACTTTTCAAGTAAAATATACACGAACATGTTAGTTGAAGTTTCAATGAACTTGAGTTCGAATTACTATAATTCTTCAATAAAACGTCACTTGCCTTATATATGGTCTCCTCGAAGGTATTCGGCGTTCCCCCGTTCATCTGAAGATGCCTCAGTCTGTCGTAGTCTCTCGGATCCACCATCGAGCGGAGGACAGCATGTTGACCCAGATCCGTTAGACCCAGACCGCTTTGGAGGACACTATCTGGGGTGTCGACCTGGAACAACGAAAATTTATCGTTCGGTTTTCGCTCGACGTCTGACGAATTTACCGTCCTCATATTGGAGGTTATAGTAAATTCTCTTTGCCTTGAACCAAGTTGCATCGAAAGCATATAAAAGTCGTAACTCAAGGGATTTAGGTAGGCGAGGAGAAAAAGAGTCGGCTATGAATCTCGGGGTCCGTTTGTCAATCGCTAGTTAAGCTTATTTGACCGATAGTTTTTGTCTAGACGTCGGATAGAATGTAGTTGTAGTGAACTGGAGCAAAAAATATAGTTATCGGGTGGCTACAAGGCAATCCGTGTTATTGAATCAGTCAATGATAAACATGTTTCCTGCTGATTGATTTGTGAGCGACTGTGTGGAATAGATGAATTTTCTGTGCCCAACTACACCCAGGTACATGAAAAACGGTCATCTTGAAATTTTAACAAATTTTGATCTTAAATAACTTTTTTATTTTCAGCCCGATTTAGATATTTTTGATATCTGAAAGGAAAGTTATCCCAAAATATTTCACATCAAACAGACTTCCTAATAAAACCAGATTTATTATACCCATTATACGAGGGAAAACGAAGTTATGTTTTAACTATCTATGTGTGGTAAAATATAGCTTTTGGATGACACTCAAAACTATCTTGTATATATTCTTGGTTCATTGCCTATACATTTTTTCTCCATTCATTTTGATATTACGATTCGTTTCAAATTTATTAATCACTGAATATAGCATTGTGTTTTCTACATAACAATGGTTATGGGTAAATCAACAACTGAACGATAGTATAAGTGGCGAACGAAAACAAAGAACCATTTTTTCAATCGGGTCTTATCTCTTCTAGTTTGAACAATATCTTCCATCCTTTGAGACAATTCGCGAATTATCGTTCGAATATACTCCTGGGGTATGCTATTCCACTCCTCTATGAGCGCAACACAGAGTTCATTTTTGTTCGTCCGATGTTTTATATAGGTCAAACTGAAAGAACGTTCAAAGTCCGCATAAAGGAACACAAAAATAGTTTCCAGAATAGAAAAGTAAATTAGACATATGCCACTCCTTTTATCACAGAGGAATATGAGTTCAACCATGAATTCAAGTCCCCCTCTATTTCTAGAAGAAAGGTTTGAAGCTTAACCCGTTGGAGAGTATAGAAATGAAAACAAATTAAAAAACTCTCAATATCTTACCACCGATCAAAATTAACTGAATAATTCGACATTATTGAATCTGTTTATTTCCAGGTGAAAAAACTTGAGTATAATTACGGTACTTCCGGAAATTCAATTTATTCATATAGTTAATGAGTTTATACCAGACCTTTTCAGGTAGATTCATTCATTAGAATCTGTTTTGAAAAAAAATCTGTAGGCATACAAGTAGGTAACTTATTATTTTACGCTTGAGAAAGTGAAACACGTGCGTGGTTTTTGTAAAACCCTTTCTAGTGAAAATCATACAATAAACTACTGTAATGGGATTTTTTATATAATTTCAACGGTTTTACTTCTTATTTCTCACAGAGGTGCCGAGACTCAGATTCCCATTACCGAGGAATGGATTGAACCCGGAACGACAATCATTTCCGATTTCTGGAAGGCTTACGATTGTTTAAATTTGAAAAGTTACAAACTCACACCAATTCAATAGAATCATCTTGGCGAGCTGCTAAAGATTCAATGTCTTCTTCGGACTGCAAGAAGAACAATATTGCTGGTAACCTTGCACGCTATATGTTTTTTAAAAGATGTAAAGAATTCGAACTTGACCCTGTGATTGAATTTTTACCCAGGGGGGGGCCGAGTCTCAACACGAAACTTCAGATGATGGTGGTGTCGATAATAAGAATGAATGATAGGTTTTAGAATGACTATGTTAGGTTGGGCCATGTGAGGTTAGACTGTGCTACAATACGTTTAGGTTAGGTTTTGAAGATAAGTTTGGTTGCGTTGGTTCATGTTCATTTAGGCTTGATTATGCACACCCAGGCTAGGGGAAATGCCTTGTTAGGTTAGTTTCGCTTAGGTAGAAGAAGTTATTTATAACTTTTTTCCCAAGTTATGTTAGGTTAGTGAATCGTAGAGAACATTCCACAGGGTGGGGCCCAAGAAAAATAATAGGTCAGGTTAAGTCGAGTTAGGTTAGTTCGGGTCAGGTTAGGTCGGGTCAGGTTAGGTAGGGTCAGGTTAGGTCGGGTCAGGTTAGGTCGGGTCAGGTCAGGTTAGGTCGGGTCAGGTCAGGTTAGGTCGGGTCAGGTTAGGTCGGGTCAGGTTAGGTCTGGTTGGGTTAGGTTAGTCGCTAGCCGGGTCTCTCACTTTTTCAATTTATTTGAATTATTAGTTTCATTTAATCATTTCGTGTTACTATAACTCAGTGAATGGTATATGTCATTGCATTTGTTGCGGTTGTCTTTTTTTCGGTTAGCTGTTCTCTCTCTAAATTTCAATATTAAAAATGTCATTTGTGAAAAAAATAAAAAATGACATCAAAGATACTTCAGGTTATATATCCAAAACTAATTCAGTCCAAAAAAAATTGTTCTGAATTTCTACCATCATGTAGTATCATCATAGAAAAAACTACGGAAATTCGTGTGAACCCCGTATTTTCTTTAGAAATTTTTAAGTGTTAAAGTCATTGCATTTCATACACATAAATTGGCTTTCAAATTTTTGTTCGGTTGTTTTTTTTATCTCAATATTTAAAATGTTAGTGCTGAAAAACAATGACGTCACTTTGATACTTCGACAGGCTATATCTTGAAAACTGATCGAGTCCGACTAAAAGAAATGTTCTGAATTCCTACCATCATGTAGGATAATCCCAGAAAAAATCGAGAATATCCGTAAGTATCCCATAAGTAAAATTTTCTCCAAAAATTATTAAACGAGGTTAAACAATATATAAAGATGATTTTCACTTGCTATCATCCAACCCGTGTTAGGAATCACACGTTAAAAGGTAAGACCTCGTTAATCCTTCGCTCGCACAAGTTTCGACTTCTGAGGGTTGTTCGTAGGGGTGCGACAGCTGTATATTATTATATTATGTATATTTTAGATTGATTTTTGTTTTGAAAAAGAAGGTATAGAATATGATCTTTTCACCTTCATAGGGACCATAATTTCAGAACGAAGTTAGATCGTCGCATTTTGACTTCAGAATTGTGTTCTGAATATCAATAAAAGTACAAAGAGAAAATTCAAGGCAATAGGCAAAATTGAATCATCCAAAATTGAAAAATTTAACTTAAACCATTCAAAATACTTGATAAAATCAAATATATTGTGTGTTGTCTTGAATAAAAAATAGTACATATTGTTAACAAACGCCATTTACGTTTGAGGTAACTGACAACCTCAATCAAATATTAACTCTTGACTCTAAAATATGATAAATATTACACTTGATCGACAAACTATTAGGCGAATGTAAAAGTTAATACCCACATAAAGTTTGGACCGATACACTAACAATTTTTCACATAATTTACAAATAAATCAATTCTGTTAATCCACGATGCCTTTACAGTAAATAAAAGACAAAATAAATATTTTTCTAAAATTTGGGTCGTTTTTCTGTCACTCACTACAGAAATCGTCACGTTTTAATTTATAGCTTCTATTATTTTTCCTGAATCCCCGAATCTAGGTGTGAAATGTGGAAAAGAAGAATTTACATTTGCACCCAGTAAGAAAAATAGACAATTTTTCAACGTCAGAGTAATGGAGAGACATTAGATTGAATTTTACGTTTAGTCGAAACGCAGAAAATTGATGACATCGGAAATGAAGCGAACTATAATGGAGTAATTTTTGAGAACGTAATAAAAGAACCCTTCCGGAATATTTGATTGTGAACGAATGCGATGGCAACAATATTTGATAACTTATCATGATGCAATTGATGTGTGGAAAACAATGATGAAATATATTTTTGAAAATCCTCGGAAAAGCTGACTTTCACTTTGGAAAAATTATTTTTTAATATAACATTTTATTATCTTCTTTCAACCAATTACCAAGTAAACCCAATTACAGGAAATAAAAAAATAACATTCAATTCAATTAAATTCACATATTACATATTCAATTGACAAATTACAAATGATTTTAATAATATTAATGAAATAATATAATTAGATTCAATTGACATATTATGAATGAATTAGCCTTCACAATGTTGTACAATCGAAAATTAAATTAAAAAAACATAAATGAAAGGTTCAATGTAAGATACACTCCTTAATAAACTTTAAAGAGTTTTCATTAATGTCACACATACTAAATTAAAACTATAATATATTCACATTTGTTCTACTATTCTGACAATGAAATGTTTCCTCGTATCTTGAGTTGAGGCGTGGTACATAATTTTTTTTTTGAAGAAGCGGAGCACAGGAGATGTTATTATTTACTAAATTATGTAGAAATGTAAAATATTTTGAAATTTATATGGAGTGCTTCATCTTGTAATATCATCCAGATTGATGCTGAAGAGGCAATACAACAGGTGTCTTATTCCAAAATAATGATGTCCGCCATTGAGGATGACAGTGTTTCACATAAGTGAAATTTTATCATCTTTATGTGTCTGATATATTATATGCAGTAGTAGATTATGTTACAAACATTTCTGTGTATTGGATATGATTCGAGGGCTTCATGATGTTCTATATTTCATCATGTGGTATGAATATTTTCGAAATCATATTAATTTCCAGGTTTCCAGAAACAGGTACATTGTAACTGTTATATTTTTTGCATTCGAACATTTTTAACTGAGCGAATTTGATTACATTTACTTTAAACTATCAAGCCGTAAGAGCAAAATGTAACATGTTTCAATACTCCGGAAAGTCATAACGCGTGAAATAGTAATAAATCAATCCTCTTTCATGGCGCGTTCTGAGAATAAATTATCTTCCGCATACTTCCAACTTGCAAACTGTACAAAACTGAAATTAACTGAAAGTTCAGAATAATTTTTAAC